AAATGATGGCCAGACTCAGACATGACTTAAACTGCAACAGCACAGCAGTATATATAGGTACCCATGGCAAGAGTAATCTTGGAAATTAATACATCCCAATCCCTACCCTGTCTAATACTGTGATGTCCAATACTGGTGATACTCTTCCAACATGACTCGCTTTAACAGAGAAACAAGGACCAGCAAAACCCCAACATATTTTAGTTCCATGCTGAGCAGGAAAATTAAATACTGAAGAAGTCTTACCTGCGTTTCAGACAGCCAAGTGTTTCAGCTGGAAATGAACACAGTCGACTGAGGGAAGCAAGCAAAGGCATACCTGTGTGCTTCAGATGGAGAAGACAGCGCATCCCCCGAGGCACCGAGGCGTAGGTGAGAATGAGACCCAGCCTGCAACCTGCCAAAGGCTTGATTTGTGAACTCTTTCTGCTGGAGCTTCTGGCATCAGCAAATATGTGCAGTCAATGAAAATTGTGACAGGTTAAGTTCACAGCAGAAAAAGTTCATGCAACCGAAAAGAGAAGGCTGTGATTCTTAAGGCTGGCAAACAACTCTTAAATTGTTGTTTAACAACTGATCAGTTGGTCCAATGTGCCACCAAACACCAAAGTCTTTACAGCTACGTAACATCAGAAGTCATGGGTTTATGTGAACGTGGGTGAGAAAGGACAACTCCTCGCAGTAGGGGTGCAAACAGTCCGGAAGGGTTGATTTAGGGTTTTCAGATGACTCTAAACATGCTGCCTGAAAGCCCTGATGGCACCCATGCGGACGCCCCGAGCTTCAAATCAGCTCAAGCTCTGGATCACTACCATGAGAAGTAGATTTTTTTTCCAATTTAAAGCTGAAAACAACATAGCAACTCGAGTCACAGCTCTGCATTCAGCAGAAGCTCTGCTGTAACCACCCCCAGCACAAGCCTGGGGCAGGGTGGTGTGTGGCATGCAGTGCGGTGGGGGGAAACACAGTGATGGAACCACTCTGATGTGGCATTCACCAGCTCATGCATGGAACTGGACACTGGTTTTTAGTGTCTTTGTTGAAACCTGTGGCGCTGTGATTCCAGTTTTCAGAATGGCAGGTTGTCTTGGGTCCACACATTTAGTTGTCATATATTTGTTATCACTTCTCCTCTAACTGCTTGTAAGGCTTAATTCTTGATTATCTGTGAAGTACCACCACCTCTTCAAACAGAAGGTTTTTCTGTATGTGCAAAACATGTTTTATAAACTAATTACTGCTTTTCTTTCAGTAGTTCCTATTCTTTCAGAAAAATGCCCAAACAAACCATGTCCTTTAATCCTACTGCAATGCTCAGTACTGTGTCCTCTGCCATTAATATGATTGTTCACTCTAGCAGAAATAATTCATATACTTTTATGTTTTGAAATTATTTTCCTCAAGTGCATGTGGAAATTACTTGTGGGAGACTTTTTTCAGGCTAACTTAATCCCCATTTTGTTTGTATTCATGCATGATTAATTATTGTACAGCCAGTTTAAATTTAGTTGGTTCCAGTATTGAGAAATAATAGCCTGTATATTAAGATATTAATTTCATTTTTTATGGGTAAGTAGTAGGTCAAGTGCTCTCTGAAAGAGTGACATATAACTGAAGAAAGTATTATTGTTATAATGCTACTAAATTATAGAATAGTTGACATTTTATTAGCATATTTGGAAGGGAATTCAGATTTTGTTACAGACAAGTTATGTGAGAAGTAAATATCAAGGAAGATTTATTTGCAGAATATAGCCGGTCCTGTGTTTTGATTTATGTAGGACCCCAAGCAAGAAGGAGGTTTTAAACCGCTTGAGGCAAGGATTAAAAAACTTCTTTCTTGCTTCTTTAATCTCTCCACTGGTAAAGGATGTGGATTTATAATGCATCACTTGTCCCATGCTGGCTGGAGGGTGGATAGCATTGGTGCGTGATTTTTCAAGTCATCACAGTTGTCATTTCTTAGGCCCAAGGCAGATCCATAATACACACAAAGGACAGGAGCTGCTAGCACTTTGGCATGTATTCCCTTCACAGCACCAACCAGCAGCGAGGGAGAGGGCAGGAGCAGAGGCACCAGCCATGCTTCCGTGCCCGGCCCGGGGATGCCGGTTGATGGGCAGGTGGCACCAACCAGTACAGACATACATTTTCCTCCAGTGGACATTCTGAATAAAAATGTCTCTTTGGGGATATGGATTTTTTCCCTTGTAATGAAAATGTGGAAAACATCAGGAAAAAAGAACTCTGGTTTTCTTTAAAGTTTCAATAAGAAGTAAAATTGAGCCTGGGATTATTCTTGCCATGTGAAAATAAGTACTTAATCTAAACAAATCACCTGGGCTTCCTATGGAGTCATAGAATCATAGAATGGTTTGCGTTGGAAGGGACCTTAAAGATCATCTAGTTCCAACCCCCCTGCCATGGGGGGGTCAGTGGAGAAAGACAGGGATCCCTACAGGGTCCATCCTACCACCTCCTTTAGATACTTATGTTGAAGGGATAAATCCTCCTTTGGAGGTATCCACCCAGTTCCCTACCTTAGGACAGATGCCTGTATTTTAAGCAACGAAAGTGTACTGAGATTAATCCCATCCATAAAGAACTGGGCAAAATCATAAATGAAATCTAGTGGTCTGAAAAGCAAAACCATCTTGCTACATTTGTTTCTCTGCTCTCATTTCTTCAAGCATATCTTATGCTTAAAGTGAAATTCCTCAAAGGCAAAGACTGCACTTGTTTGGTTTTCTACATAATGGGAGAATGCAGCACTGAATAGTAAAAACAGAATGAAGGTTAAGCCTACAATGAAATAAGAGAAGTATCACATTTGACAGATGTGATCAGGAGAGCTCAGGACAGCAGAAGAATATGCTGCAGATCTCAGGGGCAGGGGGAGAGGAAGGTTGCCCCATCGCCCAGCCTCTTTGCCTCCGTTTCTCACCAGCTGGCTGTTCCTCTGTATCCTGCATCCTGGAGCAAACAGCTACTTTTAAAACTGTATTTAGTAATTGTTTAAACAAGCTTTTCCACATTTCAAATGGATGCAAAGTCTATTTATAATTTATGACAAGCTTCTTCATTTTCTAACAGTCACAGCACTCCATGGTGCCCTTCACCTTTTTGTGTGTAACTCAGATTATTTGAAGTCTTTGTCTTTTCACCACAAATAAGAAATCCAGTTTCAACTTGAATATTATTTCCCTCGCAGGCACAGCGTTGCTGACTGTTGTTATCAACCCTAAAGAGAGAAAAGACAGAGATAATGATTAATTGTACTGTTATAAAATATCAGTGTGATTTTCAAACTATTCAAGACATATATTCAAACTTTAATGTTTCATGTTATTTCCTAAGGTCCCGACACTTCCAAGCTGGCAGTGCAACTGGCAGGATGCAAGGTCTGGCACATAGCTTACTGTGATCTCGTTAGTTGATTCAGAATTGGTCAGTTCATGCAGTACAACTGGACAAGGCTGTTTCTAGAACCTTCTCACATCAATGAACAAAAGGGCTTGAAATTTTTCATTTTTCATTGCTTATTGGCCTATTAATCAGTAATAATTATTGTCTTCAAATTAAAAAGAAAGACAGATTACTGTGCATGAAAACACAGCAGAGGTGACTAATATGCAAAAAAAAAAAGGGGGAGGGGGGGAAATATGCTCAGGAAGAAACAATTGAAGATAAATACAAGGAAAAGGAAGCAA